CTATCTCCAAATGTGACATAACAAACGCGGCTTTTAAAATATTAATACATTTATTATATCTGCCATATCCAATTCCAGAGAATGTCATTCCTCACTCTAAAGATATGGAAAGAAATGAGAATGTGTTTAGGTGTTCGTAAAAATGAACGTCGATTTAACTCGTGCATGTTTATGCAGTTAAGTTCAAAGCGCCGTGTGATCACTGCCTAAGTGATTATGCTTGTATGTACGGAATTACGCGACAGGTAACAGGATTCGCGTTAGCAAATCAACTTCATGTGTCAGTGAAACGTCTCGTGAATATTTCCCGTCTGTACGTTACTTAAAACGAGAAGCTCAGGAGAGATACTTCAACCTGGAGTCTGAAGCTGTGTTTAACACAGGGTGGGCAAAAGTAATCTGAGCTGCAGACAAAACGAAAAATTAGAAAGCTGTAGCTTTAACGTCAAATTTTTTCTGTAACGTGCGAGAAAAGTGACGAACACCTAATCACGGATGTGAGGTAAAATGATTTCTCATGTGTCAGTAAAGCAGTTACACAGCCTTAGAAAGAAAAGTTTAATTTGCTCCTGGAGGGATTTTGTGTGTGTATATTTATTTATTTATATTTATATATACACATGGCTGTTGTAATACGTGCAAAGAAACTGTGGAATATGAAACTTGTTTTAGGTCTTCGGCTTAAAGTTGACTTACAGCTGTCAGACACAGTTTTACTGAATTTTTTTATGTATGTACACATCGTCATGAATATTTTTAAGGTAAAACATCTCGCAAACCTTCTTAAATTATTTTACACTGCATGAAACGCAATATTTGCACCAAATCCGAGTACTACGAATGTTTAAATAAAATAAAAGAATGCTTTGACTCAGAAGACGAAACAGTTCGCTGTGTCATGGCGTTCGCTTCTCTGAGCCAAAGAAGTGTCGTTTCGCATCCTTCACAGTTCTGACAGTAGAATTTGTTCTCTCCGAAAGTCTGAGGGTCGTAAGCTTTCGAGGCGAGGGATGCTTTCTTCCAGTCAGAATTGCAGTTAACAGAAACGTTCACGGAATTGTATGAAAATATTTCTTTTAGAAGTAGACATGAAGTCTTAATATCTGATATCTGATATGCGCTTTGTTTAAAAATATTCCGAATGGGGAACTTACATGTAATGACTTACATTACACGCTTCCAAATATACTTAAGTCCAGTTTATACATTGAATTATTTTACTGTGAAGAAGTTTAATAATTACTAACAGATACGCATAGCATGTGGAAACATTTCGTATATTTATTACATCAAACTGTGATTTTCTGAAGATGTTTTGGTTGTTACAGACCGTCCTCGGGCTACTCAAGAGTCGATTTCCGCAACTTTATATAAAATCTCTTAAGAACAAACTTTAACTCGAAGCTGAAGACCGAGGTTTTGAAAGACCTGGAGGCTGAGAAGGCAGACAGAGACAGCTAGTGACCAAAATGATGAACTACCTACACACTACGATTAAAGGTAGGATTATATGCATGTTAAATTTCCCTAATACCTCTAGAATAAAGAGTACACTGCATTTTACGACAAACGTTCATATTTACATAGTTTTGCGGTACATGCTGTGTCAAATTCAACTTCCAAAAGTGTCTGGGGATAAACCCTGTCTGCATACCCTAACGGGGTATGTAGAGTTGGGAGTTACATAACCCACCTTGGTACGTAAGTCGGAAGCTGTCTGCATACCCTAACGGGGTATGCAGAGTTGGGAGTTACATAACCCACCTTGTATTTCTATCAGAATTTAAACTGGCACCCGGCAATTAACTGTTCAAACAATCTCTGGCGAACGGGAAGTTTACTCATGTTAAACTTTGTCCTTAATTAACAAGCAGTTCGTTCCAGGAGGGCGGATATAAATTTGTGTTCATGTTTCTGTGTTGTAAGGTTAGGTTAGGTCTCATCCATAATGCTACAATACACCAACATTACTGGTGCTGACTGCATTTTATATTCGGACTTGGAATTCCTGTTAAATGTACATTTATTCCCTTTAAAATCCAAGGCGAAATGTAGTAACACTTTCATGTTGTATATTTTATCAGTTTTTGTTCATTCCATGATAATTTATGATAAACGCGAGAGAATTTTGCTCGAAGTTTACCCATAGCCTTGTCCTCATGAGGTTTACACAGTCACAATTTCATTTTCCATCTCCTACTCCGACAGTCTTGGCAGACATTAGAGGTTCTAAAGGATTTCCTGAATTTATGAGTGAAGCCAAAATCGGAACAAGTGTTTTATGATCAGGAATTATTAATTACCGTCTTAGTCTCAAGGCTTATAACAGTAGTCGCCATTACAGCAGATTTACTGTTAGCGAACCTGATATATATAAAAATAATTAGCTACTGGTAGGAGCTGTCCTATACTTTGGGGTTCTTCAAGCATATAAATAACCGGTCAGAATGACCTATGTCCTACAGCTGACACCAGTACAGTGACATACTAGAAGCTTTTAATTCGCAAGCAGCACATACTTTATGGCGATATTTCCAATAATTTAGTGGTTTGGAAACAATGGAATTTTTTCTAAAGTAACCGTTCACTTGAAGTTATGCAGAACGTCTAGCAACAGCAAGTGCGTAGATGAACAGCGTATTTTTTGCTTAAATCCGGGTCCAAAGTGTCTAGTAGACGTCTGTCCGGATGTCAATCGCTTAGAACACACGGGAATTTTAAGAATTAAGGTTGCTGACAGAATAGGCCTAATGTATATGAGCAATTTATATTTCGTTAATTTTGATAACATTTATAAATAAAAATTACATTTAACCGCTGTTCTGACACAACGACGAATTAGACAAGAAAATGGTGACGAAGTGTCGAGTAGGCACAGATTTTGAAAGAGGTCGTATTGGCTAATTTTAATTTTCTGTAAGGAGAAGGGAAAACCACGACAAGTTTCTTTTTTGCGAGTAGCATGTGACTAGAGAGAAATTCGAAAACTGTAACTTCTGAAAGTCTACACCGATACCGCTGAGGCAGTCTGCTTGTTTGTCGTGATAAAACGTTCTCTCAGCCTTCTTACAGGATATGTGAGCTACTTTATTTTCCGCTTCGCCGGACGCTGTTAAGTGATTCAGCAAATCAGAATCACACACTTTATTTTCCGGTTCGCTGGACGCTCTTAAGTGATTCAGCAAATCAGAATCACAGACGCACATTTCTTGCTTTTTAAAATAAATCTTCATTCACTACACCGCACCCAATAAAGATCATATTATATTGGGGAGAGAATGTGAGTCAAGCCTTCCATGAAACAGTTCATCAAATATACACACAGAGGCAAAAAGCAGTCTGTGACATATATTTCTTTTTCATTTTAGCGTAAAATTCTTTCGTCCATTACACGAACCTGTGAACCCGCGCAGAAAACGATGAAGGGGAATTCGCCATGGGTTCGGTTCGTTCTGCGAAACCCTCGTTCGTTATTCATAACCCATGAGTGAACAGAGTTGAAGGACGAAATGAAATGATTTTCGTAGGAAACTGTTTTACGAGTATGCGTTTTGAGGCAGATTTATCAACCACTCTATATGCATCGACCTGTCTCTCTATACCCGTCTGCTGATTTATCTGTCCACTTGTTTACATGTGCATTTATTTATCTATATTCTACCCACCCACTCGTCTTTTTATATATCTGTATCCTTGCCTATTATATTTCCATAAATTCCATAAATTCATTGTAAGCAAAGAATGTCAGAACATCTATTAATAGTGACGATTCTTATAATCTAGGGATTATGAAACTAGATTTCTGTATTAAATTCCAAAAAAAATAACAATTAAAGCTGTACCAGTAATTAATTAATGTACACGTTCTTCGATCGGGTATTCCAAACTGTAACGAAAAAACGAATTTCATGAGGCCTGTTTTTTTTCGTTTTATGTCGACGTTTCGTAAAAGCAGTAGCTTAGCAAATTCAGTTTTTTTTTGTTATATTAAGTGTGTACCGCGCTAAGGGAATTTAACTATTTAAGGTAAGAAGATACGCTGCCTTATTCGGGGTTACATATCTGATTTACTTTCAACAGATTACTTGTAGGACAAAGATGATGCCGATTGAATTTAGCATTATAATTTGTGTATCATGTTAAGGATACTGAACGGTTATATTGGATTCATAGGAAGTGAAATACAGATTTCTCTTTTAAAAATTCATAAAGTTGAAAGGCATTCCTCAGTAGTAATATCAAACTTCAGAAATGTATTTCCCATTTGGAGCAGGCCGCTGTGCCATTTTAAAGTAATGATAAATCACGTTTTAAAACCCTTTAGTCGTACTGAATTCGCATGTTCGCACAATGCCGATAATCTTCAAAAGAAAATTTCTTCTCATGTCACATTTTCGGATGTTAGCATTGTGATTACGGCCTGTCTGATACCTCCAGCCAAGAGCCCGTTACACGCCATGTAGGAGCTTGGGCCGAGAGTTTGGGCCTTGAAACTAGGGAAGCGACTTAAGTCTCGAGAGTTATAAGTGCATCAAAGAGACGTACTCAGCACATTTTTCTTATTTGAACTATCAAATATTTAAGTGGAGAGCAAAGTACATAATTATGCAACTAAATATCTGTTCGGTTTAAAACTATTTTGTCTTCTTTCGTCGTTAAATATCCTCTCATGAGAAAATATGTTTGCTCCTGAAATATTGATTGCGTGGAAATGGGATTTTACGTAAACAAATATACATTTTACTGCCTAAAAGTTTAGCATTTCATTCTCGGAACGAGAATTTCAGAGCGGATCTGTACTAGCTTTACGCACTAAACATATTTCGTTGGCATAGACAATATCTGCGTTACTAGACTAGTAATCAAAGCTCTTGGAAATTATTTATAAGCGCCTTTATAATTTTAATGCGTCCAGTAATCCTTTATCTAAGGGAGTTAGATTACTAAATGTCAGGCGATGAATTATGGACAGTCATCGGACAAAGCGACCGAACATGATGATGTCCTTCTGCCCTTCATATTAAATAATTGCACCTGAACACATCGTTGATTTTATGATTCCTTTATTTCTACCCGGATAAATAAATGAATTACGGTAGTCGGGCGTTTCGTCGAACCCAAGGGCGCGTTTCTGTGTTCGGAAGAACTCGACCACTGAGCTCTTTCGTCAGCTGGTTTAATGCACAATACACTCTCACACATATTTTAACAACCATTTTAATATTATATTTATGTTAAGTCTTAATCACCGGCTTTTTCGACGAAAGTGTTACATGTGTTTATGGCATACGCCATGCGTTCCACATGTCTCACCCACCTCAGCCTCCTTTATTCGATCGCTCTAATTATATTTGATTCAGAATTTTACCGTGTTGATAAGAGCTCTTAAATTCTTCCCTGTAAGCTCCTGTTGGAACTTACGAAAATTGTTAATATATGGTGTCCAGGGTGTCAACGTGTGTCAGCTTTGCGCCCGCGCTGAGTGGCTGGTGTGCTACCTAACCTAACCTAACCTAACCTAACCTAACCTAACCTAACCTAACCTAACCTAACATAACCTAGCTTCCTCCCCTATTATCTTGCATAGGACTTACCACGGAAAGCAGCAACACTGGGCCAATGAAAGTCCAGATGTAGACTGGAGACGAGAGCCAACATCTGGAAGGAGAGCACAAAGAATCATCACTTTAATTAATTAATTATCGTGAGTCTACAAACTCTGCAGCAAACGCAATTTATTATTAATCAATTCGTTGCGAGTAATATTTCCCTCGGCAGCCTGAGGGCGACAACACTGCAAACAGACAAGTAAACTATTTCTGGAAACGTCGCAACTCGAAGCTGGGCTGTGCTTTTGAAAATTATCGACCTAAGAAAGAACACGTATGTAAGTTGACAGTAATGACACTAGAGGGCAGTATGATCTATTCTACAATTGAAGCTACAGTTTGGCAGATTCTGTAAGTACTCGTGAAGGAGATAGACGTACGATTTATCTAGATGAAACGGAGAACGAGAGAAAGGGTTGAGGATTCAAAATAAATTATTCCCCACTGAATTTTCCACCTACAGGAAATAATGCGTCCTGTTTGTAACCCTTAGAGGAACAGTCCGTGAATAATATATTCAAGTAGGCCACGACTTCATCGCTCCATGTTTTGTACTGCTTTTCGACAGTATAAAACCATTGCAGTTGGAACAGCGCTATTAAATGACCTAATACTAAGAAATTATATGGAGTGGGCTTCCTACGTAAGTTAAGTTATTCCAGCCGAGATATAACTAGCATGACATAAGGACACGACTCTTAGAAATTCATAAACAATTTAGGTCGAAAAAAGCTGAATTTATGACACAATTTGCTTTAGAAGGCAGGATTTCAACATGTCTGGAACAAATTAGGATCTGATGATGTGGATTCCTTTGAGCTGGTAATACACTTTCAGATTTCGTTAACTGAGCGAGTTTAATTCTGTCATAAAGAAATCTATTCCACTGAGGGAATTAAAGGTGCAGAGATTTGTTAATTAATGAAATTGTGTTCTGTACTAACGGAGGACAGCTTTCGAAGCTTGGTATGTGTGCCTGGTTCTCAACAGAATTCGAGGGCCTTTATAATTTCAAGTAAATTTTTCATTTTGTTTGTTTCTCGTGTCTGCCTGCCTCTTTAAAAATTATTCGTGTAGTAACACACTTGCGAATTACAAGCCGTAAGAATTAAACGTCCAATTACAATAAACAAAACGTCCTTTACTATAAGCATAGCAAGAATCCACTCCGTCTGAACTGACTGACCATCTCCATACTAAGGATCATCCCTGAGGCAGCTGATAGTGACATAGCTGGTATAGAAATTATCTGTTGCAATGTACGTCGAAGTTTCAGTGGATCGATCGAAACGTGTTGACAGGTAAGAATCTTAGTCCATTGGTCCTACTGGGACTCGAGCTTCGGTCGATCAGAAGTGGGCAGCTCTTTCAACCGAGGTAATCCATCTCGTCCCTGTGAAACCTGTTCATCGTTTGTTACGCGTTCAGAAGGTAATGAGTACTCAGTTCGCCTCAAAAATGGGAAACCGTCCGTCGTCGATTTATGTTAATTCGAGGGCAAGGTTCATCTCACGTACAGTTCTTCGTTCCCGTAAGCCCTGTCGCCCCTGAGGACCGCGACGACCGTCGTCAGGATCACGACGAACGCCGGGGCTCCGTACCCCACCACCTGGTACCATCGTCGGAAATCGCGACCGTTGTCGAACACCGTCACGACCATTCGGTACAGGTGGTGACCCTCCACTGTCATCCAGCAGAAGGCGGCCAGGAACAGGTAGTGCAGCGACCCAGCCACGATCGAACACGACACCTGCACAAGGCACAGCGCACAAAGTCATGTCACACACCGGAAATACCGAATTTCACAACGAATTAAGTGAATTAAACAATTATTATTCCTGTATCATTTGAGGTTTTCACAGCGGTGGGTATGAAGATTTCTGTCTTCTGGGTTATTGCGCTGTGTAGTCTGGTAGATGTTTACCAACGTTTCGGAGGTCATACTGCCTCCGTCATCAGGGTGATGAGTATGAAGATTTCTGTCTTCTGGGTTGTTGCGCCTTGTAGTCTGGTCGATTTTTACCAACGTTTCGGAGGTCATACTGCCTCCGTCATCAGGGCGAAGAATGTGCCAATTGCCCTGATGATGGAGGCAGTATGACCTCTGAAACGTTGGTTAACATCTACCAGACTACACAGCGCAACAATCCAGAAGACAGAAATCTTCATACTCATCACCCTGATGACGGAGGCAGTATGACCTCCGAAACGTTGGTAAACATCTACCAGACTACACAGCGGAACAACCCAGAAGACAGAAATCTTCAATTATTATTCCTACTTAAACAGTTGCTTGCTCGTATTACATTTTTCGGGTGTCTACTGCAGATTGTGCATTCATTCTTAGGGGTGACCAAGGACGGATAATCTTGAAGGGATTTTCTGTTTCCTCCGATTCAAAAGTCTGAGTTAAGGATAAGGTAGACAAAACACGTTGCACGGAAATCGATATTGTACCATAGGGGACTTTACGTAATACTTCACAACGCGGCAACTTCGTACTTTTACGCCGATAATCTGCACCAAGCTTGAGTACACTGCTGTTGTAGGTACGTACATAAGTGTCTAAAGAACGCGCCCGTCTTAAAAGCATGGCAAAATAATTTCTACAGAGCAAAGTTCTTCGTGAGAAGTTTGTAGTTTCTGAGCTTTTCAAGTTAGTCCCCACCTTTTTAAACCGAAGGTTCGTTGGTACTTCACAAAAACACCCTCATGGGCTTCAACCCAGGCCAGTTCAGTCTAGTCCAAGCAATTATTTATCCACCTTGTAATTAGGAAGAATTAAGTTAGATACACAGATTTTATATAAACTACAAACATACGCAAAGCACAAATTACTTAAATGAAACCTGGCCATTGCTTCAGATTCACTGAGGCTGTAAATTTTGTGTTTCATTTGTAATTTCGTTTAAAACCATTACAATTTAAACATTGCAGTTTTACGCATTAGTGCCCGTTTTCAGGGTGGGAATTAACCATGAAATGTTTAACTGTTTTTAAAAGCACGTAATTATGTTACATCTTTCATGATTTTACGAGCTTAAAGTTTCGCATTCATTCGAATGAAGAAGTTTTTAATATGGTGACGGCGTATTTCGGCTAAAGACATTTATTACTTTTCTGAAGCGTTCGCTTTTCATTTCTGCTTACTGAATGCAACGTACACCAGACATGAAGTTAACTGAACTGACACGTGACCTCACGTGACCTCTTCTGAAGCAGAATAAGCCTTCTTTCATAAGTGACGTCTGTGGGTCTAAAACAGAAGTCCTGAACTCGGTTATCTGTTAAGTAGTCTTACAGCGGAATATGTTTGCTGTTGATACAGCGTCGTAGAGCAACCAAACACTAATAATCTTCTTAATGAGATCCGAAAAAAAGGAAAATTTGATTGCGTAGTCCTTTGAAACAGAACGTCTATGCATCCTCGATTGGCTATAAAAGAACATGTCAGATAAAGGCTCGTGTTCATAAATTCTCACGTACGTCATTTGTTGGGCGTATTGTCTGTTCACACTTCAGTGCCCCTTTATATGATTTATTTTTACTGTGTGCGCAAAGTGAACGCTGAAGCTTTGCGGCGGGTCAGCCTACCATTCCGTTTGTTACACCTCAGAATGTCGGTTCTGATCAACTTTCGATTAAAATCTCACTTTCACACACTCGACAAACTTCGTTACGCAAGAGCGAGACTGTGGTGTCACGTGACACGTTTCCTGAATAGCGCCTTGAAATTATGCATCTGTTGAGTCAATCTTTTGCCGAATGCCTTTCGATTTAATTACGGTAAATAATGAAACATTGGATTTAAAAGAATTAAAGTTGGTATGGAGATGAGGCAAGAACGTACCTAAACATTCTTCACGAAACAAATCTAATAATTCAGCGATTAAAATATGGTATTGGTGAGAAATCCTGATATGTTGCGTGCCTAAATTATGAAAATAATAATTCAGAGTTAACAATAAGAATAATAAGTAACAGAATTGTACACAGTGAAAGAAATCTGACTGGACATAGAGCCAATCACATGATCATCTGCGTATGTACCCATGAGCTACACTGCCTATGTGTATTCCTGCAAACAGTTTGTAAAGTCATTTCACGACTACTGAGGCAGCAAGGACCTCTGAAACGTCGGCAAGCTTCTACCAGCCTACTCAGAGCAGCAACCCAGAAGACAGCCATCTTAAAGATGTTTATGGTCTTTTTCCATTTAATTTAAAATTGTAAAGAAAATATCCAGAGCCTCCTAACCTAACCTAACCTAACCTAACCTAACCTAACCTAACCTAACTAATATTGCCGTGATATGTCTCACGTGGTTACTCGCCGGCCGCTGACTGCAGAGACACGGATGTGACCCGATGATTACATTTTTCTCCCCCGAGTCGTTCGATTTCCTCCTATCGATATCGTTAATCTGCCGCCCCGTACTGAGTAATGTGTCACCTGGGGAATGGACAATGAACCCGTAAGCGGTTGCAGTTAGACAAACAAGTCGCATCCCACCGCACGTGAAATTAATATCGCGATGATACCTGTTCCATTTCTCATTTTGCATGTGTTCGTTCGGTCCAGCCACCATCAGCGGTGCACACGTTCACGCCATATGAAACTATTGATTGCGACGTACAGAGTGGCCCAAAATGTACATTTCAAGTTTAAACTAGATTTTCTCCGCTATAAGTGATTATAATTTGAAGAAATTTTGCTGGAATATTGTAGTACCCAAGCCATTTATTTACTGAAAGTCGTAGTTAAGTTATCATCTCTCCTGCTTCGTATCTGGGAAGTCCCGGATTCAAAACTCGGCCCAGAGACCGGCTATACTGACAGTGGTTCCAAGAAAATTTTGGGATAACACCTTATATTTAACCACGACCGCTTCCTTTCACATATTTTTCAATTTATTATTTACTATCATAGTCTCACTTGATGCTATATAGCCTGTAAATAAATTCATCTTTTGTTTTCAGTCGGTTCTATAGGTACCAGAAAATTGCGACCTGCAGTACTAAGCAGCGAATATGCATCAACAAACCGTACATTCGATTATCTTAAAACCCAGAAAAGGTCAGAAGTGCGTTACAGTTTAAGTCAACCTTCGTCACGAAATTTCGCGACTCATTATCCAAAAGGCTGTATCAAACTTTGAGATGAGATTGTAAAAGATCGTGGAAACTGAGGACAACGCACTTAACACGTGGTAATATAAATGGCCTGAGATGCCGATTTTAACGGCACACGAATGAGATTTCTATGCCTCGTCGTTCATGTGAAATGAAGCTTTAAACTTGACAAGGGGCATTTCGGGGCATCCTGTCGGCACAGGCAAACCATAAGCATCGTAGATTAATGAAGAGTCCAGCGAACATAACAGAGCAATATTCGACACGAGTATAGGCGTACGATACGAAACATCGACTGGCTATCGAAAAAGGTAATGAGGATTATCGGTTTGTCCACACAGGCGTGCAACAAACCACTCGCGCTAAAATACACACACACACACACACCGCTTTATAATAAACTGTTTTTCAACCTTTTAGTTTTTAGGAGATCACATCAGTGTTTGGGTTACAGCAAGGCGATGACGCGTTTTTAAACTAGGCCGGTTTGCACACAAACAAAGGTGAACGATATTGTCCTACAAGTTAAGATACCATGTCAGTTAAAATTATTTATTGTCTGGAATTTTTCCATCGTCTTGTTTAAAATAAGAAAGCACGACGTGTCTCCGTCTTCAGGTGAGAGGCACCTACTCAGTTGGGTCCGTTGGTTAGAGCCAGTCTCCGCCACTGAAAAAGTCCAGACAATGGATAATTTTAAGATTAATCCACCATCGTCAGAACCCTTTAGAACTTAAATTCCATATCAGGTCAAAATCTCAAATGGGTTTGTAGCTTTTGAATAATTAGATGATAATATGAACGTCAGTACGGTTTCGGAAAATATTTCAGAAAATATCACCCTTCCAGTCAAAGAGTGTGTAGGCCACTACAAGAGAAGGCAGCTCGACGAAATGTTCAGAATTCTCAGATGAAATGAAATATTTTAAATTGGAGTGGCTCTAGAATTCAAGTCAATTGAATGAACATCATATTGACAACAAGAATCTTATTACGATTGTATTAAGATTACAACTGAACTATCACGTACATTAAGACGTATTTTTCTTACTCACATTATTTTTTGTTTAAGTTGTCCTAAAATCAAATAAAACTAATCACATCCCGATTAGGTTTTAGACGCCTTAAACTTCGCCACCTTATGAATGTCCTTAGTAGCATCAACTCTGAAGATTGGGACAAAACTAGCGCGTACAGAAATGAATTTTCCGGCAAACTTTGTTTCAGAAGCACTGGATATCGTCGTGAGTATGTTGTCCGTTCATAAAAGAACTCCGAACAGCAGCCAGGAACATTTTTCATGGCGGGAAAGACGTTCAATCGAGAAATAAGATCGGCCCCATAAATCATCACGTGACACCGAATGCGTGATGTCGAGCCTCCTCTTGGTTTGTACGTTGTTCTGTTGCTAAAACAAACTCCTACGAGACTCCGTAATCAGAGACGGGCAGCTTCGACGCCTGCTGATGGCCTGACGCTGCTTCAACTGAATATGTTTGTAGCATAACCTGAGAGCAACTCAGAAGTAAATCTTTGATTACGAATGCAACTTTGAGTTATCGAATGATATGATGATTCATGAAATAATGATTATTATTTTCAAAGGGTGTTAACGGAAGTGGTCGTAACCTAATTTGTATGTAATTTCTGCTATTCACTGCAGAGAAACCTTCATCTGAGCCGAGGCTTTGATCCAAGACCCGAAAATATGAAAGACGGTCAGTAATTTAGAAGGAGACGTTCACTGAGTGTTTCGAGGTACTGTAACGGAATCTGGGTGGACAGACTGAAGACATCCACGACAAAACCTAGGAGTGTGTGTTAGTCCGGTTAAGTCTAGAAAAGGCCATATGTAGAGAGAGCAATGCAATAGTAGATTTGAAGTCTTATTCTGAAATTTGCTCCGAGTAGTCATAAACCCGTCTCACACCACGTCAGGCCATCCAGAAGTGAGTTTTGCTCGGGAATGTCACTCACCTGGTGGATATGCGACCTGCTTCACTTTCCATCACCTTCGCCTTTGCTCTTAGCAAGAACGTCTGTAGAATTCCCTTCTAAGCTACATTGACTGTGCGCGAGGCTGTATGGATCTGCGATAAAGGAACCTCTTCGCAGATTTTCGCTAAATCTAATGTGAATTAGTTAAACTAAAATCTGTCAATTGTGGCCAATCTCATAATCTGTGTGCGCCAAGTTACTTTTAACCCAAATAGCGGAATCGCCAAATCTCCATGATGACACCGTCGGCGCTGCACAGTCTAGGATATAAATTGTCTCACAGTGCTTGAAATTAAGAAGAAAATTATTATAGCGGAGTTCCTGCTTTCATTAAAATTGATGAATAATTATTAGACGCCCATTTTGAAGTCGGGGGGGGGGGGGGGGGGGGGGGCCCGTGGATGGTTTTTTGTAGCAAGAGAATTGGTGATAATGGTTACTGCATTGTATTGTCAGTGAATTGCAAATGTTAACTTAGGCTATAATTCTACGTCCCTAAACGTAGATCGTTTTCCTCTGAAACCCGTGTTCCCTCATTTTTTATAGCAAGAGAATTGGTGATGATGATTACTGCATTGTATTGTCAGTGAATTACAAATGTTCCTACACGTAGAGCGTTTTCCTCTGAAACCCGTGTTCCCTCTGCATTATGGTACAAGGCATGCGAAATGCTTCCCCGACATTTGGTTAACTGTAAACTACATCCTTGTAAATGTTGTAATGAACTTTCTGGTCCCATAGAAAGCAGAGAATTGTTCCTTGACTACCTCAGAAACTATCAGCGTCTCAGTAGGACCCTGCTTGCTGTTATGAGTCGTCTGTATCGACACTGACCTTCCTCGTGTCCGGTGCTCACCTCAGAGAAGTTGATGTACGTTTTGTCCAGGAAGAATAAGGTCGTCACGTGACCTCCGAGCAGGCACGCACACACGTTCTTGCCGATGTCCGTCCTTTCCCCTTGGATGGACCTGTAACGCGTTGCAAAGATAAACTGGACACTGCAGAGTGTCTGTGTCAATGCGCCTTGGGCTCCAGGAGAACGAGTATGGAATTTAAGAGAGGAAATAGTGAGGTTAGGTTAGGTTTCTGGTAAAATATTTAGCAAATTAAGTTCAGCAGCGGCACTTGTCGGGCAAGTTTATCGAAAGGCTGAAGGTTTAACCGAAATCTTATGCACTCGTGATTCTTGATTTGATTCACTCTCCATCTGAAGAAAACTTACTAAAGGTTTTGTTTCCAGTAATATCAGTCTGCCCTAGTGTAATTGCAGAATTCTCAGGGTACTTATGAACTATTGAGCGTGGGGCGAAAGTTTGAATTTACTTTATTCGTTCCGTTTACTCTGTATTTTAAATTCTCCAGTGATTCTTTATGATCTCTCATAAGAATTGCTCTCTGAGTAAAGAAATTCGCTAAGCAGTGCCTGTAACAACTGCGTTGAATGTTATAAATTACACGTTTTCTGCAGATTTGAGTGCGATCCTCAAAGGTATTAATGTCCTTGGCCGAAAGACGGTCCTTGTTCTGATAAAATAATGAAATAAAAGAACTGAACGCCAAAGAAGAGGATTACAGAACGTGATCTTCTTGAGTGGCGTTCCTAATGTTCCAATTAAACATATTTTGACCAAACTTCGCAGGAGAGGTCTTGAATAAAATATTTTTTCCTTGCAGAACAATTGGTTTAGATACGAGGGGATATAAAATTTTCTGAACTGAATGGTAGAAATGCATCATTAGCAGCTGAGAAAATGTCAATGAATAGAGTAAAAACTGAACATTGGAGAGCCCCACTCTTTACCTGCATCCCTGGAAGACTGCGAGTGTGACAAGGAGACACAGCACACTAGCGCCACTGCATGTAAAAGACAGAACTTCCAGAGCCGCGTCTTTTCCCTGTGAAAAACAAACAAACAACAACAGAATCGGCCATTCTTATAAATTTCGTGGTTTCACCAATTTGTGCTGTAAGAAACTTGTGGTGGCTCTTTGCTGCGTCCTAGAAGACGTTCGCTAAGTTTGTCACGTGACGTCTTCATGCGATTACAAAGTCGATTGGTTGGCACTCCCGTTTGGTTTCCCGGGTTCTCTCAGCACGAGGACGGCTGCACAGGTTCTTCGTCGTTTTACTCGGTCCAACCAACTGGACAGACTCAAACACGTAGTTCTGTGAACCACTGATTTACCACTCGGTAAAGCGAAACACAGTCCCGTTCCACTGGCGGTGGAAGTCGGATGAGGCGAATCATGAGCTTCGGGTACTCCTGCCAGTAGACGCATGCATCAACCACAATCATTGAATTTTCTAAGAAGAATTAAGTACCTGATTTTAAGCGAGTAATTAATACGAATTACAATTCACGCATCGGAAAGAGAAAACTTTACCAATGTTCACACCTGCTTGAAAGTGATAATATCTCTGTAGCGGTTTTAACAGATCGCCACAAAGTCTTAATAAATAGTCGCCATTTATAAAGAATGCGGCCGGCGACACAATAATAAATTTATTACAAGACCTCAGGTTCGAAATGATTTATAAGTGTTCGAAACCGTGAGACCGGAATACTCTATCGACAGAAAATTTCGAAGGCAGTGGTTTTATTCACGTCGATGTCGTACGGATTAAAATTCGATTGGCTTTAGTTTGCAAGCGGCGAAGTGCACGATTTCCCAGAGAACAGAGCACCGAAGTAGATGACAGTTACTGGCAAAGACGTGGTTTGATGAAAGACAGAGAGACGTGTGATGTTTGTGTTATATTTGTCAAGACGCAAGTCTTGGTTCTGTAGTCGTCATTAATACCTGAGGGTAACTCACAACTGTCTCTTTTGCAATCAGCATCAGGCAGAAACGTAGAAGACCAGCCTCAGGGCTCGTTAGTTTCAACCTGACAACTTACGACGCCATATGTAATCTGTTCAGCTGAGGAGGGTGTTAATACACTTAAAAACATATCATCCTATTAAAGAGAGGCACAAATATTCTGCGTTATAATTGTAGACTCATAATTAACTGTCTAGCATTGCAAACGTTTACTACTGATTACTGCAAATTTAAAAAAAAAAATCATTTTTTTTGTAGCTTAAGTGCGTCATGTAAAAAAAAAAATCATTTTTTTGTAGCTTAAGTGCGTCATGTTTGTGTTGAAATCAAATATATATTTATTATCTCAGTCTATACACAAACGTATTTAAAATGTTGTTGTTAAAATTTATATAACACTATAACATCTGTAGTATAAAATATCACAATAAGTTATTTGATATAACTTTGTTAATTCAATTTGTAACTTTTATGTTATTTTATTTTCTAAGTTTATCCATACTTCTTTCCATATATTTGCTGCTTCTAAATGTTTTTTATATGTTAAAGACAGAAAAATCTACAAATATACCTATAAATCAATAAATGCATTGCATCGAAATATATAATAGTTTTAAAATGAAAAAAAACGACGATATAAACCTGAAGATGATGTCATAAAACATCGAAACATGTCGTGCAATTAATAATAAGCGCCATAATAAATGTAACATCATACTACGATAAAAGTGCCATAATATAACATAATATAACTTATTGTGATATTTTATACTTCTGAGATAATAAATATATATTTAAAAATCATTTAATTTAAGGGATTTGTTGGAAATCCGACGATAGACCAAAATTGGTTGATTTTATGTCATGGTGCCAAAATGTAGGTAAAATATTCATGCACGGGGAGATTTCGTTCTGGCAAAAATTATTAGTCTGAAAGGAAATTTGTGGAAAAATACAGGCTATGTGGTCTTCTGCCTCTGAAGCTGTATTTAGCGATCTGTAACAACACACCATTTATGATTCTCTTTACAAGTGGGGCTAGTGTCGATTCCACCTCATAGATTTGTTTTTTTTTTCCGTGTTGGTATTAACGATTGCAGAAAATTGAACAGCGCGATTTTCGGGTACACCCCAGTGGCTTAACGTTCATAACATATTTTATGCAAATCAGTTAAATGCTGCAGACGAACTGAGGGACAGACAGACAGACAGACGCGATTATCCATTTCAAAATAGACGTGATGCAAAGAGCGAGTAACACCGATAAATGTCGGGGCAGCCATTAACCGGATTGAAAAGCGGATAAATACAAATCTAGAGCATGATTACGCTACGGTATTCCACCGAAATTCTCGCCTCTGCTTGGCCACTATTTCAATTTTTCTTATTGTTGTACCCGATGTGTGGTTTAAGCAGTCGTGTGTTAATTGCGGGATTATTTTATCCGATAAATATCACGAATGTAATCGACAGATTACAGGCTCACGTATGGAAACCCCAACTGTTAACTGTCCAATAAAATATCACATAACCTTTTTTTTTTTAAATTTTTTCGATATGTGGAACTTTTCAAACTGCGATTAAAATACAACGAAATAATAGAGAATTGTTACTCTCCATTCGAATCCACTCACCACGTAATCGTGAACGTCCATGAGCACCGCAAACGTAGACAAATGACTGCAGACACAGCGCGTGTAGGTCTCGTCACTGAAATCAACCCGACAGCCACTCTCGTCCCACAAACCCGACTCCCTGTCAAAGAACGCAGACTCAACAATACAAAAATGGCACACGAAACTCGAACAACCACAACAACAAACGAGGTAGCCGAGGTTTGTCTGTCATTATATGGAACACTGACCATACATTCAAATATCATTCGACTCCGGAAGCTTCTGTACTTGGCACATCATCGTTCAATACAAATAGAAGAAAGATAATTAGTACAGATTGTATTTAAAAAAATGTAATAATATTTTACTTTTTTTTATATACAAAATGCATACATAATTTTGGTCGCAAATTAAAGGGAGGAGACTATTTGTGATATTTATGTATAAATGGGAGGATAATATTAAAATGAATCTTGATTACATAGTTTGGGAGAAGAGAGAAGAAATTCAGCGAGCTTAGGTAAAGATTCGGCTATGGCCTCTTGAGAGCGCGGCATTAGGTTATTTAAAGGGCATAAATTTATTTGCCCAGCTGACTGACTATTATTTTGTGATGTATGCTTCTTATTAACGCAGTAAGTTAAAATTTCTTCAGAAAGAATTTTAATGTCTGGCAGAAAATTTATTCAAATCGTCTTCTCACTTATGAAATTAACTGAGAGTCATAGCAAACTGGATTTTAGGATTCCGATTTTATACAATCAGGACCAAGAAAAAATGTAAAAATCATCGAATTTCATGTGATATATTAATCACCTCAACGCAACAAGTTCATTCTTTCCCTTAAAAATGCACTAGAAAAGCCAAAGATGGAGCATACAGCTTCCCGCTTTTAAACATTCTTCATCTCTCTCTGAACATTTGCCACCTGCCGTCTGAACTTTGTAAACATCCCAGAAACTTCTTTAGTGGTCCGAGATCACATCCGGCACATCCCTCTTCCAACGCTGGTCCTTATTGACACTTATTCCCTCGACGCTAATCTGTCATTCTCGACGACAGCCAGAAGGCAGGAGACCAAAGTGAACGAGAAACACGTTTTGGGCGTCACTCGAACAACCGACTGATGCTTAATTACTTGTAGGATTTGAGTTTTCACGGCGGTGAATCCGAAGATGGCCGTCTTCTGGGTTGTAGCGCCGTGTAGTATAGTAGATGTTTACAGACGTTTCAGAGGTCCTTGCTGCCTCCATCATCAGGGCGATCCCTGATGATGGAGGCATTAAGGACCTCCGAAACGTCGGTAAACTTCTACCAGACTACACGGTGCAACAACCCAGAAGACAGCCATCTTCTTACTTACTTACTTATCTGCCTAACTGCCTTAAGTTTCACAAAATTAAAATGCTGCTTTCAATATTAGGACTGGCTGAAGACGAAGGGCCTAGTATTGTGTCCGAAATCAAGGTAATTCCCTTTGGCCAACCCTCCCTTTCTGGAGGAACTGCTTAAATGTCAGCCAAGAACCTTCTCATCCTGAGATTTTCCTTTAAGAGTAAAGCCAAGGAGACCTCGAAACTGAGTACGAAGGCTTGCTTCCGGTATCATCCCAACGTACACAAATCACAGGAATCATGTCAGAAATTTTGTCTTCATTTGATGATTGTACTTGTAATAGAGGAGGAACATGAAATCCTAGCAAATGCTGTCTCTCAAACACAAGTTTATATACGGCCGCGTGCGTCTTAGAATCCGCTGAAATGAAAAATTTATCGCCAAATAAGATGCAACGATGGTCGTGTAGAGTGAATTGTTATAAGTATCACGAGAGTCTATCTCGCAGATGACGCTCAGAAGGTGCGTCAACGTCTTTTAGTTAATGTTTTGTTCACGAGTGAATTTGTAGAGATAATTCATATTCATCCTATACACTTATTCGATTGTAATTTATAATGTCGTTCAAATGTAGATTTAAACGACAAAACCTTCCGATAAACCCTTTTTTTAAATCTGTTTACTTCCGTTTTCAGTTCTCAGCACGGAAATAATTTGTGGAACGTCTTGCAAATATATTCATTCGCAAGGAGCGACAGTTCAGTCACTGGAGTGAATTACACGAGAAAGCAATGAAGTGGTTCATTTTGATCTTACACGAGTTAAGTAACAAAGTTTAGAAATCGCGGTAGCATTGACAGAATGCAAAGTAATCTAGTGGAGAGCAATCTGCTTGATGAACAAGCAGCTCGGGTTCTTAAGTCCCGGGAGAATGATTCGCGATTCGACGATACCGTTTAGCTTGACTGCCACTAAACTCAAAACGAACTGCGCAGTGCGCAACACACGGATAAAAATGTGTATAAAACCGACTTGAAATATAGGCGAAACTTTTGTTGCAAATGATAATTTTGTGATGATTTCGCGTGTTAAAATAAAGGTTCTTGCCCTTTGCCCTCTAAGCTCAGACTTTGTCGTGCAGTAAATCATTTAATATCGATATTACGATGTGCACGTATTTAATAGTAACGGACAGACAACTCGATAAATTTTGTTTAAACGTGTGTGGGTTTTCGAATTTTATTTTACAGGTTAGAGGTTGTTATGGCGGTGCCGTCTTGGAGCTGGTCACAGTGTTTTGGAGGACATTTGAATTTAGTTTGTAACTCTTCGATAAAGGGCGAAGATGGTATCAAAGTATCAACTTTTACAGACTTCGGTACGGAATATGAAATAATATGGATTTCAAATTACGATATGCAACAAATCGAACGGAAATGTTAAGTTTGTAGTGAGCATTTAACAATTACAGAAAGTAATTTACATTACTTAGTTCAGTGTCGTGTATGTATTATGTTGGGTGAGGTTAAGAATGGATGGAATTTTAACTCCACTGTCTGTCATGCGTTTTCATGACGTTAAGTGTTAAAAATGCACGGTTTTGAAGCATGCAGAATGTAACTGCAACAAGGACCACTCTTCCTATGTTGAACGACTTGATTTGCTACTCTCCAGGTATTTAATTGGGGGGGGGGGGGGGGGGGGGTCAAACACACCAGCACAATGGAGGATTATTGCACAGATCGCTGATCAAAGCGATGTGATAAGTAAACAGAACTTTGGGCAATCTCATGGGATGTAAATTCGCTGCGTTCACCAAAGAATTTCACAGAACAACGAAACGTAAGCCTCAATGTGTATTACAGTAATTGGGTCGTCTGACAGCGTCACGTGTCCAAAAACGTCGGTCCTTATACTTAACATTCATATGTCATTTAATATCGCCATATCAACTACGTAGATTGTCGATTACGTTTCGGAGATGGTTAGGCTTGGCTAATGTTGGGGAGAGATTAGCTCGAAAGTCGTTTGAAGGCGCTGATCTCTTAGGAAGAACGCGGATATCAGGATCAGAATTCGAATAGGGCACTTCCAGAATAAGGGCCTGGCGCTTTTTATTCAAATATTCGGCAACAAGGTCTTTATAACCCATTGATTTATTTTAATTTTTAACTGTGATATCTGTTTCTTTATTACATTGAGATTAACCAGAGTAGTATGAAGCTGCACAGCGGATAATATAACCTCTGTCTACCAAAGCACGTATTTTACGTCTCTCAATAGATTCTTGTTCATTTTCTGTTATAGACTGCTTTGTAGTCATGAATTAACTTGATTTGTTTTAAATATAAACTGTGCCATACCGAAAAATACTTTAAATTATTATTAAAAAGTCTGCAAATGCTTAGTTTTGCACTCAAAATTAAACGTAGGACACATTGCAGTGGCTGATCGAGCCCGGCAAATCTGTATTTTATTTTCAACTTCATAGCGATTAAGTTGCAAAGCGCTGTAGATTGAAATGTTGAATTATTCGATGTGTGGCTTCATATTTACATGGCGACTGTGCAATGTGTGTAATTCCATCTCTTGTGGTGGATTTCCTTAACGGAAGTAGGAAATCAGGTGTTATAAATTATTAGCCTGCATTTCCCCTCTAAGCTCAGCAGACAGATGGAAATATTCGAAGAGCTCGGACTATGCAAGCGGCTCCTAAAATATTTTATCGTCTGCTCACGGATCTGGGACTGCCACCTGCCCAGACTGGCGTTCCAGAAGACACACCGCGCGCTGCCTAGCACAGCGGCGGGCTCTTCGCCCTCGTGCAGACGTCGCCTGATCGTCACTTCCTGCGGGCCCTTGGCGACTTTCACGTGCTGCAGCAGAATTTGGACAGCCCCGTCCCCGGCCCGGAATCTCTCCATTCTGGTTTCACTTGCGTCCTGGATGCTGTAGCTGATGAGGACGGAGTTCAGAATCTTGGCCTCGGCGGTTTCGTCCACGAAGCTAAAACCAGGACACTAGCTCCATTAGCTAGGCATAGGCTGCTATCGGGCTGGCTAGCACAGGGGTAACACAGTCAACGCGAATTCGAGAGGCTGTGACTTGCATTACCTCAGACGGACTGAGTAACTAACTCTCTGATAGCAGAAACCGACAACACCAAAGCCCGCCACCTGCCACGATCCTGAGCTAACCCCACCCATTTTCCACCCTCACAGCCCACCTCCCTAAGATCCATCTTGGTATTACCCTCCCATCTCCTTCTTTGTCTGTCCAGTGGTCGCTTTCCAGGATTTCACACCAATATTCCCTATGAACCCCTTGACTCTTCCTCTGCGTGTGTGATACACGTCCAACCCGTCGGAGATTCCTAGATTTATCTGTCCTCACTTTGCCAGGTGACCCGTACAATTCACGGTAAAATCAAAAATGGGTCTTTACTGTCATGTGACAGCTCAATTTAAAAAAACGCGGAAACCC